TTTTCGAAACCATTCATCACGGTATACATCACATCTTGATTAATGGTAAGCTTCTCTTACCTTAGTAAAGCTTCAAGAATAAAGATCAATGAATCACATATACTTCTGTTCTCTTTTCCTTTCTCTCGGTTGTTACGTATCAAATCTCAATCAGTTTTCAAAAGCTAGATTTCTCATCAACCTACCTCTTTAGTATTTGAACTCACATCCATTAAATTCTAGACAACTATTTCTACCAACAAACCAACCCATCACATTACAAATATAGGACATCATAAATTTAACAACCATACAATATCATGTGCTACACTTATATCCACAAAATAAATAAATAACATAAAATTTTATGTTCTACTCAATACTTGCATCCCAACTGAACCACACCACACATTTTGAACTCATGAAAATTCTAATAAAACATACTTAAGCCTTATTTATAAGCTTTACATTTTCGTAGGTCTTTGATAATGAAAAATTTTACCATGATATTTAGTGTTAAATTGACAGAAAATGTCAACTCTTCATTAGCTTTTTACCTTCTTGACTCATAGTTTTCTTGTAGTTTCGTAAGTGGTTGCATCTTAAGCTTTAATGAGATCATTTAACTACTAATCCTTGACATTATGCTTTTAAAAGTAGTTGGAAGAAGTTTTGTATCAAACCAAGTCAAGAAAACCCAGGAAAAAAGGGAAGAAGAGAAAACAAAAATGAAGAACCAATGTTGTAGACTGATCTCGCGTCGGGCGCCTCCTCTTCTGTGGGTACTGGGCGCCATTTGATTTGGTTGCCTCGCGCCAAGCGCCTCCTATCGGGGTGCCAGGCACGACTTTTGCTGATGTGGCAGAAAAGCTTTATTTAACTTTGGATCGCGAAGGGGGTAGAATCTTTGGCAACCCAAACGTGATTTCTCTCCATTGGAGCAGCTGGAGGCGAGCTTTAAGCTGTGGAAACACTTCTCCTTCCCCCTTTGGTCTTCTCCCTTCTTCCATTTCATCAATTGTAAGCTTAAGCTCTCCATGATTATGGAGAGCTAATTTCATCTATTGTTGGGGATTGATGTAACCACATATCTCTTATGTAAACTATAGTTGATTTGAATGATTATATGTCTATTTCATTGATTGCTAGTGTTTAATTCCTTTTCTCAAAGCTTTTTATGACTTGATCAACCATGGCATGATTTTAGGGTTTGCTTGATATTGAGAAATATTGTGTGAATCTGGAATTGGAGTAAACACCTAAAGGAAATTGTATCTAGGGATAAAACTTGGACCTTTGGTTGTCTTGAGTAAATTAGTAGATTGACTTTAGCATATATATGAAAAGGAAGTGATTATTATACATAAGAGTGAAGTAGGTGAAATCATATCCCCAACAATACCAATTCAACTTTTACCATTTTTGCATCATATTTACTTTGATTGCATTAAAAACCCAAAATTATGGAATCATTCTTTAGTTTAATTTAGTTAGCAATTATACAATTGTTTAGTGACACGAGTCTCTTGGAAAATCTGATCTTACAGGTTTTATTACTTGAATGATTTGGTACACTTGTCGAAATCTCAACAGTCTTACATAGTGTGTGAAGGAAACAACCTAGAATTACCCAAACTTATACCTACAAATCAGATATAGGGGTCACAATCAATTCTAGGTTCATTGATCTCACAATATCACACTTACATATATTTGTTGGAAAAAAAAGTATAATTAATTATCATACGATTAAATTTTATACTATTGAATTTTATAAGATTATATTTTGTAGGATTATATTTTTGTAGAATTGTATTTTATAAGATTATATTTTAACTTATTTCTAAGTGCTGGATATAAATTTCAAGAAAAAAAATTATGTAGAAATTAAGTTAAAAGAATATAAACAAATAATTTGAAGTACTTATTTAATTACCTTCTATATGAGTGTATCTTCAATTATGAAGATTTGACAAAAAAATTAACCCTACAAAATTATAGAAAAAAGTTGCTCACATAAAATAGACCTATTAGTTCAGTTGGTGAAGTATTGTAATTCAGTTGGTTCAAGAGTGGTAGTTCAGTTGATTAGAGCGTTGTGTCAAAAACGTGCCATAAGTTTTAATTATTTGTGTCAAAAACCATTAATGTAATGTTATGATTTGCATGAATCAGTAACTATTTGAATTGAAATTTATTACAAAATTGAAAGTATGTACACATATCCAGAAGATTATATTTTCTACATTTTTTATATACAATTATATTTTAAGTTAGTTTTAATCGTTGGTGTAGTTAAAAAGCTTAGGAAAAAATTATGTACTAGTTAAATACTCCTTTAATATTTCTTTTAGTCTATAGTCAATGATGAACCCACTAGTAATTCTACAATGCAAAGTTAATATTGAAACAAAAATTGTACTATTAATTTGTCGAATAATTAAATTTTATACGATTAGATTTTGCAAATTATATTTTACATGTTTATATTATGTCTCAAAGAGACGATAAAGAAATGGTTAGCGTGGGATAACAAATCAAGAGGGATTAAATTGGTTTTTAATAAGAACGTGTGTCTTTTAAAATTGATGAACCCACTAGTTAATGTTAATTCTACAATGACAAAGTTAATATTGAAACAAAAATTGTACTATTAATTTGTCGAATAATTAAATTTTATACGATTAGATTTTGCAAATTATATTTTACATGTTTATATTATGTCTCAAAGAGACGATAAAGAAATGGTTAGCGTGGGATAACAAATCAAGAGGGGTTGAATTGGTTTTTAATAAGAATGTGTTTCTTTTAAAATTTTTACTCAATTTAACTTACTAAGCAAATAATAATGATAAATAAAAAGAGTAAGGTTGAGAGAAATTTGCACAGATGATTTTATCCTGGTTCAGATCTTACCAATTCTACGTCTAGTCGCTTACAAATTACAATCACAAAGAAATAATTTGTAAAAGTTGAGTATTCACAAAGGATGAAACATTTCCTTCGAATACTTCACGAAGGATGACTTTCTCTTCCGAACACTTCCTCAGATGCATCAAGGATGAACCAGGTATTTCTTTGTCACCGCAGTAGCACTTCAACAGCTCCACAGACAAGAGTTTCTTTAACTAAACAATATCACACAATTCTCAAGAGTTATTATAGAAGGAAAAAGAGAGTTTATTTATAGACTCAAGCAAATACTCTTACATTTTTTGTTTTCAGCCATTTAATGCTTTTAATCGATTAATATACTTGTTAATCGATTAAAATGAGTACAACGGCTAGTTGAACGGCTAGAAAACTCCAACAGTCACCTTTAATCGATTAATCCACTTGTTAATCAATTAGCTAATCGATTAAAATGTATTTTAATCGATTATTACATAAGCAGTTTGTGTTTTCAGCTCTTATCAGGATTAATCGATTGACACTAGGTTTAATCGATTAATACAGTATGCTTTTTATTTTGAACATCAATTTTGAAATATGAAAGTACATGAAATCAAAACCACTAAGAACCTAAGTCCTAAACATTAAATTACAGTTATTACAAAAGTTTTTTATAACAATGCAAGTCTTCAAAGGATCTTCTTGAATCTTGATTTCTCTTGACTTGATTTGGACATCATCAAAACTTCCTCTTCATCATTTTGCTAACATTCTCTCCCTTTTTTATGATGATCAAAAACCCTTTTAATTTAAAGCTTTTAGTAATAATCTAGATAAAAACACAACTTATGGAAGAAAAGAACATTAGTGAATAAACACAACTAAATTATAAGCTTTAAATAATTTATAAACATTTTCTTCCCCTTTTTTATCATAATTAAAAAGTTGTGTTAATATATCTCCCCCTAAGATTATACTCCCCTAATAAAAAGCATGTATGCATAAGATTTAAACAAACATTTAAACACACAATATTTTATTTAATTTAAACAAACATTTAAATACACAATATTTTATTTAATTTAAACAAACATTTAAACACATAATATTCAAAGCATACAATCATAAAGCATCTTAAGACAAGAGAACCTAAAACTTATCACTATCTTGAAAGTGTTTTTCTAATCCTGAGATTCTCTCATTAATGTTCTTGAGATGAGTACAAATTTCTTCATGGCGAGCATTTTGAAATTTTATCATCTCATTTTGCAACATTGTCATCTCGGTCATTTGTCTAGATAAACTTTCCAGACTAAACTCTTCTGGCACATGAGATGGTCCCGCAACATTGGTTGGGTCAGGCATTCGTCTATCTTTCTCATCATCATATGCTTGAGAAACAACATCATCAGAATCAATATATAAATTGCTATTCAACTTTATGCTAACATTATGCACAATTATATTTTGTACCATTATATTTTAGATTTTAGTTTTAAGAACAAACACAAGGAAAAAGGTAAAAAAAATATTAGAAGAGGTAAATATTATGTGTTATATCAAAATTCAACAATTAATTTAAATGAATATAAACAACTCAATGTTTATTATACAATAAAAAAAATTACACATAATGTTACAAAAAAATAGTATTAATTATTGTACAATTATATTTTAATTTTTAGTTTTAACTAAGTAAAAGATCTCAACTAGATTTGAAAAGACAAATATTAGTATGCAAATGACAAATAATGTAGGAAAGTTAAAATCAAAAATTAATTTAAAAGATTATAAACATATAATATCAAGTACTCCTTTTATTACATTAAAAATATTAAATAATTGATATTTAATTTATTTATTAATAATTTTTAATATATATATATATATATATATATATATATTGATTGTTAATTAAAATTAATCTGATTGATAATCCAAATTAAATTGATTTGCTGTCACACAGCTTCCTTATTTATGTTCCTATATCATTATGGAGGGTTCCAAATTTGCTATATCATACATGGCACCTCTGTTAAGGATTTAATATAGGTTAACCGGGAGGATATATTATAGTACTGACTAAAGTTTATGAGATAATTGATTGACATCTTGGTAGTATTTTGCAAATTCTCCAATCTTAAGATAGTGGAATACAACATCCAAATACTTTACTTTAATTAGGATTGGACACTTGGTACCAAATCATAATATCATCACCAAACTCAGGCTATTAAATGCTAACCTTGATCGATAGGTTTATTGCTAGGGCCAACTCGACTGTTAGCCAGGGTGTTTTGGGACTTAGTCTCCATTGTAAGCATCTTTATAGATATTTTCCGTAGATAATCAGGCTGAAAAAAGACAAAACACCAGTGCTGGGTCAAACCATGAATAATTTTCTTATATATTTATGTATTTGCATAGGTAACAACAAAAGAAATGGAGGATCCCCAATTTTCAAAATGGAAGTACCAGGCTTGTTGCAGTAGTAAAAGTCTCTTCTTCAAACCTTATAGCAATCTGCCGAAGTTCTTGCAATCCGTCAGGACCAAAAAAAGGATTGTGTTTTTTTAATGTGTCCATTCTACATGAAGATAAACAATAGTTTCACAATTAGATAATTTAAGGATGGAGATGTTAAGAATATCAGCCAATCCTAAAACGACAGAACACGGTTATCTGTTAAAAGTTGATGAAACCCGTGAAAAAGCCCACACACCCAACCTATGAGAGGGAGTAGGGTTAATGAGTTGCCATATGATGGTCTTCATAACATCGTCTTAGGTAATAAGGGATTTAGCTACGATAACCTTTCACCCAATGTCTCTAAAGTTTGTGTTTGTTTCAAAGTATCACTAATTATTCCCAATAAAGTGAATTAGGCAATATCACATTCCCATATTTTTTACAAGTTTTGAAAATGTTGTCAATTTAGGGATTCATTATTTATTTATTTATTTATTTTACTTTGATAGGTAACAACTAGTAAAAGAACTAATCAAATAATCTCAAGAATACAGAACTAAAATTGAAGCTTACATTTTGTTGACAATTCTTTGGCGTGAACCCGGTGGTAGTTGAGCTCTCCAGTCGTTTGTATCCATAGTGGGGTCATTACCTTGATTAGGTCTCCAATTATTGGAATCCATCAAATTCAATCACCTGAAGTATCCGAAGACAAAATGCTATAATCAAGTCAGATTTTAGATGGAAACATGTAAAGGGAGGTACATATACAATAAAAGACATCATCATATCTATATTGTTGCTATAGGGTTGATGGTAACGACTAATATATAAGCACACAAACGAACTACAAGCATAAAGTTTTGCCAACTTTAATCTTTCCAATTTCCAAAACCTCAAAAGTTAATAAGAACTGTGGTAGATTCAAAAGGGGCAAGGAACATTTGGAAGAGTCTTCATGGAACTGATTTATCATATAAGCACTTTACAGTTATTCTGAACTAGAACTGCATAAAACAGGCAGATGACTCTTAGATCTATAAAGCGGTAGTGCATCACCAGTACTAATTTCATTATAAGCAACCTTCTTCCCCTTGTATATACAAAGTTGATTTTAGATTCCAATCTGTAAGTAACTGGTCACAGTAGGCAACTTTACAGTTGTGTTGGAACTCATCCTCAAAACAGGAATATTTATAAATATCTAAACCACATCAAACAAGCCAAACAATAAAATTATGATAATTTTATTCCTAAAGGAACTGAATAATGTTGTTGAAGAGACCAAATCTAGAGTAGATGGAAGAAGATTTATGTTAATAGTATAAACAAATGCATCACATATTAAAACTTACACAATGCTGAAAACCTGGAGCTTGATAAATAGATAACTCCAAAACCAAGCACATATCTCATTTCTTATGACAAATATTGAATTTCATCAGAAAAAAGAAAAATCCCTTCAAAGATCAAATTGACTCAGTCAAAAGCTAAGTGTGGAAGTTTGTGGATTCATCATGTTATATTCATCCAGGAAAAACTAAACTCCTGAACAAAGAATAAAAGACCTAACTTAATTATACATATTCTCCTACTTGAAAATTAAACTGTAAAATAATTTTAGAGAGCTTGATTGATCCCTCTCATAATGATAGGATACTGGATGATAGGATAGAAGGCAGAGAAGTCGAACGGTAAGAGACAAAGGGAACCAAACCTAACCGTAGAAGGCAGGGGGAAGCAAGCCGAACGGTGAAAGATGAAGAGTTGAAGCCGAACGGTAGGAGGCAGGGAGTAACAAAGTCGAACGGGTGAAGAGCGTGAACCAATCGGTTGAAGAGTGACTATCCTAGCTGGGACAACCGTACGGACGGAAAATAATTATAGTAAATAAGGTCATATCCTAAGAAAATATTCAGTGTAAGTTAATTATAGTAAATAGAGCTATATCCTAGAGAAATATTCGGTATAAGTTAATTGTAATAAATAGAATTATATCCTAGAGAAATATTCAATATAAGTTAATTATAATAAATAGAATTATATTGTAGGAAAATATTTAATATAAGTTAATTATAGTAAATAGAATTATATTCTAGGGAAATATTTAATATAAATAAAGCTAAATGTTATTGTTTAGGACATGTTTTTTATTATTGAGTTTTGTTGATAGGCGGCTATGCTCCTGTGAAGGAGGTTATGCTCCCAAGTAATTGAAGGAGGTTATGCTCCCAAGTAATTGAAGGAGGTTATGCTCCCAATGTACTTTTGTTTATTCAGATATTACCATCAATAAAAGAAATTTCATTCATCCCTTATTCTTTTGGTTTACTATGAGCATTGAGTGTTCATCTTTTGACTAACGTGATTGTAAATACTTGTTTCCGACTCGGATCCGTAACACGTAATCTTTTATTTATAAAAATAAACTGATATAAAAGTACACAATAAACAAGGTAACCTTAAACACAATATAATCATGATAAATTAGATAATCCTAAACACATAATAATCATGATAAATAAGGTAACTTTAAACACAATATAATCATGATAAATATACAATATAACAATGATAAAATAGGATAAATATCCTAACACTCCTCTACTACTCTACTCCTCTACTCCCATCTCATCTTTTCATTTCTTTCTTTTATCAATTCCTCGTACCTCACGCTCCTCCTCTAATCTAGAGGACTCTACAAATAATTTCATCCTTCTCGGTTTATTTTCAAAATCACAACAATTCAATACAGATTATAAATTTTCATTCCATCCCATCCTTATCAATTACAAAACTATAATTACTCAGAGTTTCAAACAATTTAATTCTTACGAAAAACAACAGAAAGAAAAGTAAAATGTAATAAACAAAAGAAGAAAACCAAAATAAAAGAGATGTACCGAGTGGGCTATGATAAAAGATAACTAGGACAGGCGACGGCTCTTCGAAATCGGAAATTGCAGAGAATTCAGCGTAATTCAAGTTTATGGTGAAATCAATGAACCCATCAATAAGTAATAACCACCTATTTCATGTTACTTAGCAAAACCCTAATTTCTAGAAAAGATAAGTATGGGAATAATATTTTCTTGAGATTAAATTAAATTTAAAATCAAGTATTAAATTAAATTTTTTTTAAAATTGGAATATTAAATCAAGATTTAGAATTATTAAAATATATTATTTTATACTATCTCAGCAAAATAATTTCATCATAATATAAACTTTTAAACTAGTGTATTATTAATGTATGAATTATTGTTTCCATTTATTATAGGTTATGCAAGTGAAAATGTGTATGAGTGCATTTATATTAAAATTTTCATAGTAACAAAATTTTAAAAATTATAATTAAAATATTTTTATAATAAAATAGTTTTAAAATTTATATTGAAATTATTAAAATTATGGGATAAAATAATCATACGCAAATAATTTTTTACATTGCTTTGATTTTATTTCTTTTCCTATTAACATCCTATCTACTTAAACATTTTTTATTTTATTTCATTTTTGCATCTAATATTTTATCAATGTAAAAGTAATATTTGACAAATATTTTAAGTTTCTATTATAAAAATATTAAGACATTATTATAAGGAAAAAAAATTATAGTATTTTAAATCACATTATTCATTAATAAATGTTTATATAAAATATTCTTTTAGTACTTATTTTTAATTAAAAATATATAAAATAATTCTATATACATAAAAAAATAAAGAATTCTAAATAAAAAATATAAATTTTTTATATTAATTTAATTATGATTGATAATGCGGGATGGATAAAATTTTAGTCTATTGATTCATTTAAGTTTGTTGAGGCTATTGGTTCATTTAAACTCATTCTACAATCTCATTTATTTATATTCTTAAAATCGATCGGTATCAACCCAACGCGTTTTGTATTTCTTATAAATAACTTATCTATCCAGATTTCTTATTCGATTTATTCAAATATAATTTGTTCGTTCGTGTTTAATCCATCCAAAATTAATCTTTCCATTCACATTTATTCTATTATTTTTTGTCGAATTCAAAATCATTTATATTTTTAACAAACTTGTACTTAAAAAATATAAATTACATAATTATAAATATTATTTATTTTAAGAAATAAATTTATAAAAATTGTTAGTTATACTAATTTAATTAAATATAAAAAAATATTAAAATTATTATGTAAGTCGCAGACCATACCACAAACTCGTAAAGTAAATGTTATATGAAATGGATCAAAGAGATTGGCTCGTATTTCTTGCATCACCATCTTTAAATTTCATTTTACTTAAGTTTATATTCAATTTTAGTTATGGTAACTTTATTGATATTATTTATTGATCTTCAAAATTTAATTAGATACATAACTTTTTAAAAACCTATCATGAAAACATTACAACAATATAAAATACATGTAAAAACATATCACCTCTTATAATAAGTATTCCAAAGAAAAAAATACTAAGAATGTATCATTCTTTCTTCCATTACTTTTCAAGAGGAAATTAAAAAGAAATTAAAAAAAAATTCTATTTTTGAAAGTTAGAGAATTTGTTAATAATAGATTAATAACTTGTTAATACTAAAATTCTCAAAAGAACTTTTATATAAAATTATTTAATGCATATATAAGCTATTGGTTAGTCTTAGTTAGACTATGATAGTTTGGTTATTAAAACATAGCTAAAATTCATATCAAGTTTTTCTGTGATATGCTCAAATTTTAATTACTGCAATTTTATTTTTTATTAAAAATAATTTGAAAATGTGATGGTAACTCCTATAAAATTCACAAAAATTTTGTAAAAAAAGCCCATAAAAACATAGAGGGGTGGTTATTATTCTTTTTATGTTTAATATATAGTCCAATAATTAAAAATAAAGAATACCATTTCTTTTATTAATCACTTTGATTAGAAAGTAAATTAATTCCAACTTTAACTCTACTTAAATAAAAGATAAGAATGATCTCAATAACCTAGTATAGGTACAACCAATCTAGAAACATTTTTATAATTATTTATGTCACAATCGAGATCGCGACGGGACGGCCAGCCGAAAAACAAAAGGGTTTGAGAAAAAGATTTTGAAGTCGCCTCCATGATTTATTATGAAAAAAACTATGAAAAACCAAAAAAATAAGACATGGTATGCGAAAAGTAGATTTTTAGGTTCGGGAATTGGTTACGCGTAAGGAAGGTATTAGCATCCTATCGCGCCTGCCCAGTACCTTTAATTAAATGTAAAAGGTTGACGTGGTTTTGTATGTTTAATTTTCCTTAAAAAAATATAAAGAAACTATTAAGAGACAAAAAAAAAATTTTTGTTTTATGAACCCGACAAGAATTGACCTTGGTCCTACGTAGGTCCATTTATAATGGACAATCACGGATCACGTAATTCTTTATCTAGAAAAATGTTAGTAAGTTTGTTTAAAAAATTATTATTGATTGATTTATATTTTTTGAAAAGTAAATCCGAAAAAGATTTGGTTTCACAAGATTGACATCTTTTTTTGGTTTCGAAGATTTTGTATTTTTATTTATTTAAGAATGGTGGGAAAAAGATACAAAACCGGCGCGTACTTATAAAAAAATTATGATTTAAAAAAACATTATTTGTGTGTAGGAAAAAAAACAAAATATCATTAGAAAAAAAAACTTCAGAGTACAATAAAAAGCAAATAGTGCAGAAGTGACATACCTTTTAGCTTTTAGTATTCTCCCAGTTCTCCCTTGGTAATCTCTTTTGACA